AGACTTGTACTACAGAAGTGTACCCTAACCCTAACCCTAACCCTAAACATACCTCATATAAAAATATAAACATAATACTAAACAACCTAAAATTACCTTGGGTACATATATGTAGTACCTGATACGACAACGACCCTTCGTGCGTAAGTAAAACATGTACAATACTCGTGCTAGATAAACAATATTCGCCAGTATACAATGCGTGGGCCTAGTACTTATATGTTTGAAACACGACGTGGAACATCAACAGTTCCCGATTCCCTTCATACGCAACTGTACTCACACGGTAAGCTCTGCTGTTCTTCAACCAGAGAGCATTGATAAGAAGAAGGACGAGCCGCTGCGAGAGTTCTTGTCAGAGTACGGCATGGAAAGATGGCCGATCTCGGACGCCGAGTGGGATGATAGCAGCTACGACCTTACGGATCTGTTGGGACGAACGTCGAAGGCTGGATTTTCTATCCTGTACAGCCTCCGAGCTGGAGTGGACCAGAAGGATTCTGACAGTCATATACTATATGTGAGTATACGGCTGATGGAGGTGAACGCGGCCGTGTACTGCTATTTATTTATGGGTAGGACTAGCAATATAAAACCGGCGGGGATCGGCGAAAACGGATTGCCTACTTTCTCGTAGCTTTCTAGTAAGTGTCGTTCAGTCTCTCGCCTCCTTTCTCTCACCCCGGTTCATTTTCGCCTGTCTGTCTGTCTGTCTGTCTGTCTGTCTGTCTGTCTGTCTGTCTGTCTGTCTGTCTGTCCGTCTGTCTGTCTGTCTATTATATTATATTATATTACATTATATTATATTATATTATATTATATTATATTATATACTTAAATATTATAGTTCATTTATGTACTTAATATTTATAACGGTTATTGATTGCCTGTTCTGTTTGTCTAGCTTGACGCCGCAGCACTAGGTTTAGGATCTACGAGAAAGAATTACTATTTAGACGAAAAGTATGAGAAATATTTGAATGCATATAAGGAGTTCATGAAGGATATGGCACGTATATATAATCCGAACAAAGCCAACGCTGAGATGGATGTGGATAAGATATTGCAGTTCGAAATAGATCTAGCGAAGGTATGCTACCAGTTTTTTCACTGCACGATATTTTTGTCAATGTTTCGTCGCGTGAAGTTTTCACAATTGCACATGCATGTAGGTGTAAGTTAAATAATATTAGTGCATCACGTGATAAATCGTTGAAATTCCATTGGATAACGTCGCAGGCACTATGAAGCAATAGTGCCCGCCTGAGCGGGCACTATTGCTTGCGCGACGCATTGTTATTATAACGCATTGTGTTCACGTCACGAATCTCCTGCGTCTGGGCGCCACGCAAGAGTTTCGAATTAATAGCGATTGTGGTTGTGCCGAGCGTTTTGTTACATCGAATGCACCGGCAAATTAGGGAGTATAAAGAAGGTGTATAAGCATGAAAAGTAAACAGAAACACTATAATTGTATTTTCATACATTTTATTTTGTACAAATAACACACAAATATACTACTTGCTGGTGCTAGAAATTCGTGACGTAGACAGTTTAATACAAATTGAAATTGTTCGTTTAAGAAACTTTGTCTTATTCACTTCATATTTACCAAGTAGATTGCAAAGTCATGTGATGCACTAAAAACATTAATGCCTGTTGTTGGGGGCACTATGCTGTCATAGTGTTGCTTTGGGAAGGAATAGTGCCCTCGCTACCGCTCGGGCACTATACATTCCCTCAGCAACACTATGAGAGCATAGTGCCCCCAACAACAGGCATTAATATATAATTAATAACGAATTAATAAAAATATTTCAATACTATAGCCTCTACAATTTACTTATTTTTACGTCAGTTAAACAGATGCTATACTGTAATGTAATTTATCGTTAGCCTAGAGCCCTTAAACGTATAATATTATCAGGATAGAATATTAATAGATAATAATAATATATTATAATAATAGAT